ATAATGATTCTTATTCTATTGAAATTTTAAGAATAATCAAGATAATATCATAAACATGATTGAGTGGCCTGCAAAAAAGTGCTTAGTTTTGCTCAGTAATCCGCTCGTCATATTATATCACACCATTACAGAGCTTAACAAATGACACGCTAAGAAATTTTACTGTATATTTGTATGATGTTATGAAGTTTTAGATACCGTCTTGAATTTGGGCTTATCCTTATCCATAAATCTTTTTTAGCGCATTTTCTCATCTACTGTGCTCGCCATGTTCGTCTGTCCGTCCGTCTGTCCGTGACTTCACGTTTTCGTCGACGAGAAAATGCGCTCTCTGTCACTCACTGCAGCTAGTACTGAAGTACTTATATCATTAGTTTGCTTATATAGCAAGTTCACAAGGAATTTAAAAGCAAAGAAAACGCCAAGAAAATTCACCATATCGATATTGAAAATGTTTCGGAGTCCAGCTCCATCATCAGTTCGACTAAACTAAAAAATAATAAAATCACTTTAAAAGTCAAAATTTAAAGACAGACATAAAGACATATTAGGTCTTGTTTAAGCTAGTACTGAGTTATATTTTTTGTTTATATGGCGGTGCATCACGATGAGCAAAACGGAGCGACTGAATTCAACCCTGGGAAGTGACCCAGGGTTGATAAACTTTTTATTTATTTAAATTATTTAAACAAAACATTAATATTTTTTGTTTCGATACACTCGGTGCAGGTCACCTGAGTATGTGACGTCACCCACCGGTGAGTATGAGAACAGCCAGTCACCACGTCGAGCCTCCAACTTCACTCCTTTCTCTGGTGAGTGCCGACCAAATGATGGGAGAAATTATTACAGCGTTTAATGTTCCGCTTGCTTTCTTCGTATATTAAAATGATAGATGAACTGAGTGATAGTCGAAGAATGATTGGCATGACATATGCAAGTTCTAATTGATGTTTCGTTAGTATGGTATAATTTTTATCGAAAATCATCATGAATGTTGCGGTACCTGACGAATATAGAATTAATAGAGTAATTTTTATATTGTGTTTAAAAATGTTTCATTATTCAAAAATGAAAAATGACTTGCTAATGAGTCTAATAAATTGACGTTGTGGTGTCTTCATGCTAAATATACTAATTGAGTTAATTGAATGTTTGGTGCAAACGATATCGACATCGAAGAAATTTTTTTTAAGGTTTCGTGAGTTACTTAAATGCTGGTATCAAATACCGTAGACTTCCAGGTAAAGGTTCTGAAAATTGCAGTAGAAATTGACACTGGACACTGGTATGAAATACTTATATTGTGTTTGAAAATGTTTCATTACTAAAAAATGGAAAAAATAACGTCCTAATGAGTCTAACAAATTGAGATGGTGTCTTCATGCTAAATATACTAATTGAGTTAATTGAATGTTTGGTGCAAACGCTGTCAACATTGAAGACAAATTTTGAAAGGTTTCTACGAATTAGTTAAATACTGGTATCAAATACCGTAGACTTTTGAGAATATGAATCATGATAACTCTGCATGAGTTATTTAAATACTGGTATCAAATACCGTAGAATTTCAGGAAAAGGTTCTGAAAATTGCATTAGAAATTGACACTGGACAATGGTATGAAATACTGTAGACCGTACACGCGTAATTTACTGGTTATAAGTAGTCATTACTGGTTGTAAAAAGCCAATACTGACCTTAAAGGTCTTTACCTGAACAAGTGTCGACGCATCACACCTGTTTTAGTTCGGGCTGTAAAACAAATGCACTTATGTTTTCGTAGGCTTTAGCACATTTATCACTGTAACTTGACGAATAACACGCATTGATGTGTAACCTGTACGAGTTGTGTGACCAGCTATAATTTGTATGAGCTGTATAAACAGTTGCAAGCTGTATGTCACCATTTTGCTTGCCTAATTTGACAGCGCTTGGCCACTCTTTGTATGTGGGAATGATAAGTCTGCACAGATATCAGTTGTGTTATAATTTATTGTTTTGACGTTGATGCTTGCTGATCTTGTTATTTCGTTGCGCTTATTTACAATGCTGAACCGCGATACGTGGGACTTATAGAGGTTAATGCTTATCGTAATTTCATAATTCCCAGTCTAGCGTGTAGATATTTGAAGCCTTTTTTTATTTATTTAGCTACCAATAGCTTCATATCGTAGAAAGCGTAGAATTATTGATCGTTTGCAGAGCTTGTTGTAGTATTAACGTATCGCTTAAATGTAGTCTAAATTATTGGTTGTTCAACGACTTACGTTACGCTGAGCTGTAATGACGTTTTAATGATACTTGCTCCCTTTTCCCTCTTTCCTGTTCCCTCACGAACCTCTGTTTCCCTCTTTTTCATGTTTTTCCCTTTCTTTCCTGTTCCTTCACGAACACCTGTTTACCTTTTTTCGTGTTTTTCCCTTTCTTTCCTGTTCCCTCACGAACCTCTGTTTCCCTTTCTTTCATGTTTCCCCTTTCTTTCCTGTTCCCTCGCGAACTTTTGTTTCCCTCTTTTCCATGTTTTACCCTTTCTTTCCTGTTCCTTCACGAACCCTTTTGTGCCTTTTCATGGAATGACGGACCAACTCTACTGACTTGGCAGGCTTAACTGCCGCTCCTCATACTAAAGCAAAAGTCAACGTCAGACCAAACCACCTCAGCTTCTCCAGTCCAACACCAAACGCTGAGATGAAGAGGGAGTCCAAGAGTTTTTGCACGCGTCTTGGCAACGGCTTAAAGGGCAACTTGTTGGCGTATTTCTCGCTGCCGTCTCGACCTCAACAGAAGAAATTAGTTTCTTCGAAATCTGCTCCTGACGAGGAAGCTGTTGCTGACGAATTAACTCTACGGCCATTCCACAGAAACTCTGCGCCTTCTTACATATTTCGGCCACGTGCGTCATCTTATATCAGACTCAACTACCGAAAAATTTCTGCAGACGAATCAGGGAAAAGCCAGAAACCGACTTTGGCTACAATCTTTGCCTCGAAAGAAGATCAAAAAGGTCACGCTTGTAGCAAAGTGGTCCAAAATAAAAGTCGGAGTCTTGTATCCGAACAAATCAATGAGCGGCAACCGTCCGTTGAGGATGGTGTACATCAGAAAAAAATATCGGGAAATTGTTCACTGAACCTCTTGTCCACTCGTCCAGATTGTTTAAAAAATACTAAACTGTCACGGACAGACTTGCATGAAAAGAGTTTCAATCATAAAAATACATCCAATGTGGGAACTCAGATCTTCGATACTCACAAGACCTTCTCTACTTCAGTTCCGCCTAGGAAGAGTATTTTAAACAACACGCCACTCAAAACTACCAGTTCCCTGCGAAACAAAATTGAAAATATATTTTCAGAGCAAAAGCCAAAGGGCTCCAATGACCATTTGAAGGACATTCCTCTATCCCCGACGTCCCCTCCCCCTTCAGGTCATGTGAAGGACATTCCTCTATCCTCTCCTCCACGTTCAGGTCCTGTGAAGGACATTCCTCTATCCTCTCCTCCTCTTTCAGGTTCTGTGAAGGACATTCCTCTATCCTCGACGTCCTCTCCCCCTTCGGGTTTTGTGAAGGAAATTCCTCTATCCTCTCCTCCCCCTTCAGGTGCAGTGAAGGACATTCTTCTATCCTCTCCTCTCCCTGCAGGTCCTGTGAAGGACATTCCTCTATCCCCAACGTCCCCTCCCCCTTCGGGTTTTGTGAAGGACATTCCTCTATCCTCTCCTCCCCCTTCAGGTCCAGTGAAGGACATTCCTCTATCCCCGACGTCCCCTCCCCCTTCAGGTCCTGTGAAGGACATTCCTCTATCCTCTCCTCCCCCTTCAGGTCCTGTGAAGGACATTCCTCTATCCTCGACGTCCCCTCCCCTTTCAGGTCCTGTAAAGGACATTCCTCTATCCTCGACGTCCTCTCCACCTTCAGGTCCTGTGAAGGGCATTCCTCTATCCTCTCCTCCCCCTTCAGGTCCTGTGAAGGACATTCCTCTATCCTCGACGTCCCCTCCCCCTTCAGGTCCTGTGAAGGACATTCCTCTATCCTCGGCGTCCCCTCCCCCTTCAGGTTTTGCGATGGACGTGTCCCCAAGAGAGCGGCAGCTCTGCGCCGACGCGATCGCTTCGAAACAATCTTCCCAGCACTGGCGCTGGTCCTTTAGAAGATGTTAGTGGTTACCTCACTTGTGTCCTTTGCTTATTTTGGTCCTTAATGAATCAGAAAGAAATTATTTTGTCCATTGCTTATTTTGATCCTTAACTTTATCTAATGAATAAGAAAAAATTATTTCAAATTCTGTAGTGATGTTGATGTCAAAATCTGAAAGTTTTTTTTTTCAAATTCTCATCTTTGTTCAACTTGCGCTCAGTGCCAGAGTTGACAGAACCTTAACTTAACTTAACAATGAATAGGAAAGACAGTATTTTAAATTCAGTAGTGATGTCAGAATCTAAACGTTTTTTCCAGATTTCGCTTTTGTTCAACTTGCATTCAGTGATAGAAGTTAAATAGAAGTTCAGATCCGTCTGACGTAGAAACTTTCAGCCTTCGCCTCAGCCACCAGCTCTTATATCCATTGGAATTATTGCCTCTACATAATTTCAAGAAGATAGTTTGGATCATTTTATTTTTGATTAACTACATCGATAATATTTCATATTCGAGAGCATACCATTGACTGCGGATGTATTTCCCATTTAACGCGATTACTCTGGCGCGGGTAAATATATTTAAAAATTTAGATTTCATGAATATCGATGGACGTGTCCCCAAGAGAGCGGCAGCTCTGCGCCGACGCGATCGCTTCGAAACAATCTTCCCAGCACTGGCGCTGGTCCTTTAGAAGATGTCAGTGGTTACCTCACTTGTGTCCGTTGCTTATTTTGGTCCTTAGTGAATAAGAAAGAAAATAATTTAAATTCTTTAGTTATGTTGATGTCAAAGTCTGAACGTTTTTTTTTCTTCTTCAAATTTTCACCTTTGTTCAACTTGCGCTCAGTGCCAGAGTTGACAGAACCTTAACTTTTTATAATGAATAAAAAAGAATTTATTTTAAATTCAGTATTGATGTCAAAGTCTGAACATTTTTTTTCAAATTTTCATCTATGTTCAACCTGCGCTCAGTGCCAGAGTTGACAGACCCTTAACTTTATCTAATGAATAGGAAAGAAATTATTTTAAATTCAGTAGTGATGTTAAAATCTAAACGTTTTTTTTCAAATTTTCGCTTTTGTTCAACTTGCATCCAGTGATAGAAGTTCAACAGAAGTTCAGCACCGTCTGACGTAGAAACCTTTAGCCTTCGCCTTATCTACCAACTCTGATATCTATTGCAATTATAGCCGATACATAATTTCAAGAAGATAGTTTGGGTCTTTTTATTTGTGATTACCTACATCGATAATATTTCATATTCGAGAGCATACCGTTGACTGCGGATGTATTTCCCCTTTAACGCGGTTACTCTGGCGCGGGTAAATATATTTAAAAATTTAGATTTCATGAATATGTTCTTTAAATAATTCACAATTAATTAACTCTTGTGCTGGACACAGTCGAAGAAAGTCAGCTGGACAAGCCTGGCAGCGACACGCTGGAGTCAGGATCCAGTGACCAGCAGGATGACATCCACCCCCCACCCAGCAAGGTAATGTCAGCACCATATCACCCCACCCAGCAAGGTAATGTCAGCACCATATCACCCCACCCAGCAAGGTAATGTCAGCACCATATCACCCCACCCAGCAAGGTAATGTCAGCACCATATCACTCCACCCAGCAAGGTAATGTCAGCACCATATCACCCCACCCAGCAAGGTAATGTCAGCACCATATCACCCCCACCCAGCAAGGTAATGTCAGCACCATATCACCCCACCCAGCAAGGTAATGTCAGACCCATATCACCCCACCCACATTGTCAACCAGAAAATTTGAATAAGTGGTCGAATTTTTAGTGCAACGACCAAAATTGCAAAAAATCCTAACAAATAAATTAAATTTCAGGGATTAACGATGATATTCGAGGTTTATTGATGCATCCCCAGTGAGGAATGATAAAAACTCAACCACTGTCTTTAACCACCGTCACAAAAACGGTGTTTAAAGACCTATATTTAATAAAGGTCAATATGGTTAATATTTATCCATATATATTGTATAATAATAATAAATATTTAATATAATAAATCAGTATGGATAAAAAATAATGAATACGATTGTAATATATAGAAGAAAGGACAGAGCCATCGAAAGATAACCACATACATAACATAACATAACATATTGATCTCGGCGCTGAAGTGTAGGCCTGATGTGGCCTGTCGCCGATTCTTTTACTTTTCGTGCCTTGATCACAGAAGATCTATAGTCCTAGTGTCACATTATAGGCTCTGCGCACCCATCACCAAAATAATGTCATTTATATTTTTAATTACCTAATTAATTGAATTATATTTACTAGATTACTTAGACGCGAGTCCTAGGGTGGGGTAAACCCAATTATAAGTTTTGTGCACCCATCAACAAAATAAATTCATTTATATTTTTAATTACCTAAATAATTGAATTATATTTACTAGATTACTTAGACGCGAGTCCAAGTGTCACATTATAGGCTCTGCGCACCCATCACCAAAATAATTTCATTTATATTTTTAATTATCTATTTAATTGAATTATATTTATTAAATTACTTAGATTTGTCCGGGGTAAAAGCAGGTCTAAGGAGAATGGTTCTTGTTGAAGTCCTTTAGTGTTCCTTGAGGAACTCAAGTTGAATGACCAGGCCCTTGATACAGCTTGGTGAAACAACATTATTAATTGATAATGTATATATTATACTAAGCAACATGTGTATACATTATATTAAACAACATTATTTCGAAGGAAACTTGGGTTATATCAGCTAGAAATATATTTGTCAGTTATACCGGACGTATTCGTCGACTACATTCGTAGTTTAGAAGTTAAATTAGACGCACAAAATTGTTGAAACTCCAACGATTTTTTTATTCTACGCATCGGCACAACCATCACCTTATGACCTTATGATGAGTTCGGCACTTCCTAGTCGCCGGTCACGCTGATGCGCCGCCTTCGTCGTCCTCCGTCTCCGAGTCGTCGCTAGGCAGGTCACCCCGCCCTCGGGTCCCGGATGTAACGTCACGGCATCCATGATTTGTGTGGTTGATGAATCTTGTTCACAGATCATTCTTGTTCTTGCTCGAAGATCACTTCAGAGCTATGAACTTTTTGATATGATGACAACATTCCCCTACTTACGTTCCTTAATCCTATCGAGATTTTTATTCCTGTAAGCCGCTGGCGCAAGGACGCCCCAAGCTCGCCTAGCGGCTCGATCTATGTCCGCTTTAGGTTCTGGTTGCCGGAGCGAATTAAGCTCCGTAGCAAAAGTACTTCACCGCCGCAGGACTTGTAGGGAGTTGACGGGGATCGTGGGGCTCGCAGATACTCTGAATATCGATTGACTTGTGTTATATTTTGCTTAATATCCTTTATTTTAATTTATTATTATATATAATATTAGTCACTTATTTGTAATAATTCCATCGCTCTTATTTTAATTAATTCTTATATATAAAATTAGTCACTTATTTGTAATAATTCCATCGCTCTAATTTTAATTAATTATTATATATAAAATTGGTAACTTATTTGTAATAATTCCATCGCTCCTATTTTAATTATTATATATAAAATTAGTAACTTATTTGTAATGATTCCAGCAGATAATATATAATATTCATAACTATAGTTTGTAATAATTCTAGCAGATAGGCTAATGCATAAAATTTGTGATGCATGCGTCTTAATTTCAATAGATTTTATACAACATTTTTAACTAGTTTGAAATAATCTCAGCAAATATTGTCTATCAATTATTAAGCAGATATTTTGTTTCTTTAAAAAAGATAATATATTAAAAAAAGATTAAAAGCAGATATTACCTATATTTAAATTCTAAAAATTGTTCTTCATTTCATAAATTACATATAACATTTCTGACGGTATTACGAGCCGTTATTAAATAATATCTAATATTTTTGACGATGTAACGAGCCGATAATTAAAAATCTCATAAACACGAGCCAAAATTAATACAATAACTCATAACAACGAGCCTACTATAGTGAAAAAACTAATGATCATAGTTGTTTAAAATAGAACATGGTAATATATACGTTCACATGTAACCCGATTATACATATTGACTTCAATAAACGATAATGGACTTGAACATACGAATATGGACTTGAACATACGATTATGGATTTCAACATTCCATTATGGACTTGAATATTCAATTATGAACTCGAGCATGCGATTAAGGACTTGAACATATGATAATGGACTTGAACATACGATTAAGGCTTTTATTGTTCGTTGAAATATCCGTTGAAACATGTACTTTTATGCTCACAAATATTTATTTTTTCGCTCAGGACTTCGAGAGTGACCTGCGGCTGAGGAACTACACGATAGAGTTCCTACAGGACCTAGTGTGTAATCCTACACTCCTGCCGGCTGAGAACAAGGCGGCCTCGCAGCTCCTGCGCCTCCTGACGAAGGAGGAGGCCACGCCTGCCAAGATGGACCTGCCGACGCTGCTTATGCCGCCACCTGTGAGTCAAACATACAGTGTGTTTTAACTATAATTTACCATACAGTATTATTTTAACTATTATATAACATACAGTATGTTTTAACTGTTATTTAACATACAGTATTATTTTAACTATTATATAACATACAGTATGTTTTAACTATAATTTAACATACAGTATTATTTTAACTATTATATAACATACAGTATGTTTTAACTGTTATTTAACATACAGTATTATTTTAACTATTATATAACATACAGTATGTTTTAACTGTTATTTAACATACAGTATTATTTCTGTCTCTTATACACATCTAGATGTGTATAAGAGACCGGTCTAGTGTTGAGGTGATGATGGCGGCTGGTTGATAACGGTCTAGTGTTGAGGTGATGATGGCGTCTGGTTGATAACGTACCTGCATCACAGGAGGGGTCATCCGGTTCACCTCCCCCATCCCACGGGTGGCGGCACTGCCCCCCCACATCCCCCCCTCATCAGGGTGTTGGCACCCGTCGGTCAATCCCCAGACGCATGTCCTCCCTGGACGAGAAGCCCCAGGTGAAGGGGAAATGAATTTAAAAACATGATTAAATTAAATTGAAAAGAGGATTAAATTGATAAAATTCAAGATTATTGAAAAAATTTAATTTGTTTTCGCGATTGACATTTTTGAAGTTACTAATATTATATTTTGTTGGACGACATCGGTGATACATGCAAAATTCTACAGCAATTGCCTTATGAAAGGCCACGGTGAAATCAGGCAAATATATGTATCGAAAATAGATATTTTTATTCGTTATTTACATTAACTAAACATGCAAAAAATTCCTTCTAGGCAGACAGCAGTTGAAATTGAAGCATAATGTAGAGATTGTGTAGTGCGTCAAGGGTACTAATGCTATTAAAATAATATATTTTCGAGTCACTATTTACAAGGCAAATAGTCTACGTCAGTGAAACACTCAAAATATCTTGATTGTATATTAAAAAAATATAACTCAGTACTCACTGCAGTGAGTGGCAGAGAGCGCATTTTCTCGTCGACGAAAACGTGAAGTCACGGACGGACGGACGGACGGACGGACAGACAGACATGGTGTTGGCACCCGTCGGTCAATCCCCAGACGCATGTCCTCCCTGGACGAGAAGCCCCAGGTGAAGGGGATAGGAATTTAAAAATATGATTAAATTAAATTAAAAAGACGATTAAATTGAATTAAAAAGGGGACTAATTTAAAAAGAGGATAAAATTAAATTAAAAAGGGTATTAATTTAAAAAGAGGATTAAATTAAATAAAAAAGAGGATTAAATTAAATTAAAAAGAGGATTAAATTAAATTAAAAAAGGATTAAATGAAATTAAAAAGGGGATTAAATTGAAAAGAGGATTAAATTAAATTAAAAAGGAGATTAGGTTAAATTAAAAAGTGGATTAAATTAAATTGAAAAGAAAATTATATTAATAAAAATCAAGTTAATTAAAAAGTTTAATTTGTTCTTGCGACAAACATTTGTTGAAGTTACCAATATTATATCCTAATTTAGATTAAAAAGAGGATTAAATTAATAAAATCCAAGATTAATTAAAAAGTTTAATTTGTTCTCGCGATAAACATTTGTTGAAATTACCAATATCATATCTTAAATTAAAAAGAGGATTAAATTGAAGATTTATTGAAAAGTTTAATTTGTTTTAATGAACAACATTTATTGAAGATATCAAATTATATCTGATAGGACGGCATCGGTGATACACGCAAAATTCTGCAGTATTTGCTTTATGAAAGGCCACGGTGAAATCTGGCAAATATATGTATTGAAAATATTTATTTGTATTCGTTATTTACATGCTCAATAAATCCGTACATGCAAAATCCAAACATGCATTCATTATTTACCAGGCCAAATAGTCTACGTCAGCGAAACACTCAAAATATTTTTATTAAATATTAAAGAAATAATTAAACTGTTGTCCTACGGTTACATTTTTTGGATGGAAAGCAAACTTTAGAATCGTTACCTACCGTAATAAATATTCTACGTCAATAAAACTCGAATTATTATGATAAGAAATTGATAGAAATCCCAAAATTATGATAAAAAATTGATAGAATTTCAATGAATCCAGACAGTAACATCAGGCTCGGACGCCGAAGACGAACAGGACGCTGGCGGTGCCCCTGCTGGGGGGTCACGCAAGAGGCGCCCTTTGGAGCACCGCAGTAGCGGGGCGCCCCCCAGCAGCGTGGGCACCCGCATGAGGCGCGGCAAGCGTCAGAGCTGCGAGAGCGAGAGCAGCTTCAGCGCCTACGGCTGCACCCCCAGGTCCTCCGTGCAGATATCTACAGCCAGGTCGTCCTTCCAGGTGCGTTCTGAATACATAATTAACTGTTCAGGTAAATAACCTTGTTATTTGCTGTAAAACGTTGTTATTTGCCGTAAATAACGTTGTTATTTGCTGTAAAACGTTGTTAATTGCCGTAAATAACGTTGTTATATGCCGTAAATAACGTTGTTATTTGCTGTAAAACGTTGTTATTTGCCGTAAATAACTTTGTTATTTGCTGTATAACGTTATTTGCCGTAAAAAACGTCGTTAATTGCCGTAAATAACGTTGTTATATGCCGTAAATAACGTTGTTATTTGCTGTAAATAACGTTGTTATTTGCCGTAAATAACGTGAATAATAATAACGTAATAACAACTAACGTATTATTTATGTAAATAACTCATATAAATACTAGCTACGTTGGTAACGGGCTGATTGCGTTGCAACAACGTGATTACGAGTTGATATAGTTGATGCAACGTTGATTACGAATTGGTTTTGTTGATGCAACGTTGATTACAAGTTGATATTGTTGAAACAACGTTTAATTAATGTTATTTAAACGCCAAATGCACTTATTGCATATAACTAGACTTAGTGCGTATATAAATATTAAGATTTCAAATAACCTTTTGAAAAAAAAATTTGAAACTATCTCAATAAATCATGATTTCGTTTCTATAGTTTGTAAAAATGCCATAATTTACATATAAAGGATTTAAGTTAACGAAAAAATAACGCTACCTCCAGGTGCCGGACTCTCCTCAGCACTCAGTACCTCGAGCGCTGACAGGTGTCGTCATTACCTCCTCCAGACAGTCACAGAGAAGGTAATGGTAACATGTGACAGTCACAGAGAAGGTAATGGTAACATGTGACAGTCACAGAGAAGGTAATGGTAACATGTGACAGTCACAGAGAAGGTAATGGGAACATGTGACAGTCACAGAGAAGGTAATGGGAACATGTGACAGCCACAGAGAAGGTAATGGTAACACGTGACAGTCGCAGAGAAGGTAATGGTAACATGTGATAATCACAGAGAAGGTAATGGTAACACGTGACAGTCACAGAGAGAGTAATACTAATGGTAACATGTGACTGTTACAGAAGATGTATTAGTTACTGTTTTATAAGAAAGGTTTACCAAACGCAAGTTTAATTCAGTAAAGTACTCAATATATAAGTTTATCTGTACCATCTTCAAGTTAAATTCATGGATTATTATTCATTTATTAGATTATTTTTAACAGTATAGATAACTTAATTATAGATCTATGAATGGGGTATATTAAAGCATAGTTTATGTTAACTAGCATTTAATTGATTGAGTTAGCAACACCATCTTCAAGTTAAATTACTAGATTATTATAAATTTCTAAGATATATTACCGGCATAAGTATTATTAATACGGGATACCTCTCATCAAATGATACATACGACAAACTCACTTACGTACACTTAGCGGCGGATTTCTCGTCTGTGATTGGAAGGTTCAGCTTGTTAAGCCGTCAGTGATTGGCTGACGGATTTACGAACAATTTTTGATAGTACAACCCCTGGGCCATACTTTCAAAAAAGTGAAGAGATCGTAAGTTCATCAGCCAATCATTGACGGCCTTTCAAGCAAAATCCACCAATCATAGACAAGAAAATAGAGCGTAAGTATTTACGTTCACTTAGCGAGTTACTTTCGTTCACTTGGCGAGTTTTGAAAGTATGGTCCATACGTAAGTACTTACGCTCTATTTTCTTGTCTATGATTGGTGGATTTTGCTTGAAAGGCCGTCAATGATTGGCTGATGAACTTACGATCTCTTACCTTTTTTCTGAACAGGTGCAGCTCAGCGTCAGCGGCAGCAGCCTTCGCGGTTGCCACTGCAGGTTCCAGCAACCCCCGAGACCTGCCCATGAGCCTGCAGGTGGCAGGCCGCTTCTCCATAGCGCCCCCAGGGGTGGACGCCGCCCGAAGGCCAAGCTTCAAGGACCGTCCAGCGCGGCAGGAGTCCATCATCATCTCAACGGCGGCCACCATGCGGGTGCTCAACGTCCTCCGCCACTGGGTCTCCAAACACTCCCAGGTGCCTTGAGCTCGCTCTAATTTTAATTTATTATTATATATAAAATTGTTAACTTTTTGGTAATTATTCCAGCAGATAATGTATAACATTTATAACTATTTGGTGATAATTCTAGCAGATAATGTATAACACTTATAACTATTTGGTGATAATTCTAGCAGATGATGTGGAACGTAAATAACTATTTGGTGATGATAATTCTAGCATATAGGCTAATGTATAAAATTACTGATGTATTCGTCTTAATTTCAATAAATTATATACATCATATTTAACTAGTTTGAAATAATTCCAGCAGATAATACTTAAATATTTGCGTTGATTTCATTCTAATTAAAAGCAGATATTATACATAAAAATAATATATTTAAAAATGTTTGAATTTTTTCTTAATTTCAAAAATTACGTTTTACATCTATGATGATATTACGAGCCCTTGAGAAATAATATCTAATATTTTTGACGATGTAACAAGTCGATAATGAAGAATCTCATAAACACGAGCCAAAATTAATAAAAAAAAAACTCATAACAACGAGCCTACTATTGTGAAAAAAACTAATGATTATAGTTGTTTAAAATAAAAAGTGGTAATACGTTTCCATATAACCCAACTATACGTATTGACTTCAATAAACGATAATGGACTTGAACATACGATTATGGTCTTGAACATATGATAATGGACTTGAATATGCCATTTAAGGACTTGAACATATGATTATGGAATTGAGCATACAATTATGAACTTGAACATACGATTATGAACATGAACATGCGATTAAGGACTTGAACATACGATTATGGACTTGAACATACGATTAAGGACTTGAAAATACGATTATGAATTTGAACATTCGATTATGGTTTTAAACATACGATTATAGACTTGAACATCCGATTATGGACTTGGCAAACAATTATCGACTTGAGCATACAATTATGGACTTGAAAATACGATTCTGGACTTGAACATACGACTAAAGACTTGAACATACGATTAGGGCCTTTAATATTCGTTGAAACATCTCATTTTATGCTCACAAATATTTATTTTTTCGTACAGGACTTCGAGAGCGACCTGAGGCTGAGGAACTACACAATAGAGTTCCTACAGGACCTCGTGTGTAACATTTCTTTATCCGTACAGGACTTCGAGAGCGACCTGCGGCTGAGGAACTACACGATAGAGTTCCTACAGGACCTCGTGTGTAACATTTCTTTACCCGTTTGTTTTAACTATTATTTAACATACAGTATTATTTTAACTATTATTATTATTATTAAATTATACAGTGTGTTTTAACTATTATTGAGCACCCCGACGCTGCTTATGCCGCCGCCTGTGAGTCAAATTATAGGCATATTGTGGAGGAATAATTTTTAGTTAATGGTGATTTAGTTGAAATAACGTCTATTTAGAGCACATTTAATTGGAATAACGTTAGTTTCTTGGTGATTTATTTGAAATACAGTTAATTTCTAGTTTATTTATTTGAAAAACGTAGCTTTTTAGTTTATTTATTTGAAATTACGGCTATTTAGAGTTAATTTATTTGAAATAACGTTGATTTTGATAACGTTGATTTTGAGTTTATTTATTTGAAATAACCTTGATTTATTGGTGATTTAATTGCAATAACGTTTATTTATAGCTTACGAGAAAAAAAAACCTTGCTTCACTAGGGATTTAGTTGAAATAACGTTTATCTAGAGCATATCTATTTGAAATAACGTTGAACTTGAGTTTATTTATTTGAAATACTGTCTATTTAGAGCCTTTTTTTTAAACGACGTTGATTTTGCGCTTTTTCATTTGAAATAACGTGTATTTTGAGTTTATTTATTTAAAATAACTCTGATCTTGAGTTTATTTATTTGATACAACGTTGAGTTCTAGGTGATTTGTTTGAAATAACTTTGATATCGTGATGATTCATTTAAAGTAACAGTTATTATAGAATGAAAAATAAATTGATTCATCTGAAATAATATTTCAACGCAGATACCTGGTGCGATAGACCTTCTTTGGTGGTGACTGAGTCAACGAAGACTGACGCAGTGGTGACTGACAGAGTGGTGACTGACACAGTGGTGACTGATTCAGTGGTGAATGATTCAGTGTGAATCAGTGGTGACTGCATCAGAGGTGTTGACAACAGTTAACTTTGATTACAGACAATAATGACTTTATTAGTTGCGTTGTCAAATACAAAAGTTTAAATCATGACAAATGCAATCAATGTCAGACTGATTAAACTGAACTTACACCGTCTGTCTAGTGTTGTAGTCTGGAGAGAACGGAGTCCAGGGCCAACACAAATGTGATATATAAAATTATGTGATGCGATGTGATGTGATGTGTAGTGATGCGAGACGACAAGACACGAGACACGACATGATATTTATGCATAATAGTCCCAATCCTCAGAAATGTGACGTTATCGAACTTAAAAAAAAAATCCGTTAATGATGCTGCCTCAAAAAAAGTAAATAACTATAATATGCCGTTCGTATTTTTCTACCTGTATTATTCATGCATAAATCAGCATCGTTACGTTAAGTTCACTATCATCACATGAACCATACATCATCATAATGATGGTGACGATGATGGTGACGATGATGGTGACGATGATGGTGAGTGCAGGTACCGAGCAAGGAGAGCGTCGAGACGCTGTCCGCACTCGAGCTCGCCGAGCAGATGACCTTCATCGACCACCAGATCTTCGCCGCCATCAGGAGCGAGTGAGTGCACGCATATGTATAGACAAGTGATGCAGGCTTAGTATATATAGACGAGTGATGCAGGCGTAGCAGTGAGTAGCGGCGTATATATAGACAAGCGATGCAGGCCAGGCAGTGAATAGTGGCGTATATATAGACAAGTGATGCAGGTAATACATTTTAAAACTGATCAAAAAAGGCTGGATAAATCTTCAATTTATTGACAATATTTTATTAACAATCTTTGTATTTTATTTTATTAATGAATCTTTTTATTATGAACCATGGCTATAATTGCACTCATGTTACAGGGAGTTCCTGAAGACGGCCTGGACCAAAGCAGACAAGCAGGTGAAGGCGGCCAACATCCTCCTCATCACCAAACGCTTCAACGACGTGAGTAATGTAGGCCGGGCATGTAGACCGGTCATTAAGACCTAGCTTCAATACCTAGCATTAGGACCTAGCATTAAGACCTAGCATTAAGACCTATCGTCAAGACCTAGCATTAAGGCTATATGATGTTTATATATGATGTATATTAAGACCTAGCTTCAAGACCTAGGACCTATCATCAGACCTATCATCAGACCTAGCATTAAGACCTAGCATTAAGACCTAGCATTAAGACCTAGCATTAAGCCCTAGCATTTAGACGTAGCTTCAAGACCTATCATCAAGACCTAGCATCAAGACCTCGCATCAAGATATATCATCAAGATCTATCATCAAGACCTATGATCTAAGCCTACAATGAGGCTTGTCATTTAGACTTTACGTTTAGGCTTTCGTATTACACAATTCCTGCTATTTCGATTGATCTCGTAGTGGTAATTTTGAGTAAAGAAGTACAAATGTTATTTTAGGAATTGTTGTCTGTTCGGAAATTTAATTGAACTGTTTACTCGATAAATGCGGGAAATTTTAATTATGAGCTTTATTGAAGGTTATCAATTGAGCCGAATGCACCTGATCCTAAAGGGTTCTTGTGTCTTGTTTTCAAGAACTACAAGTTACGCTCTTCTGTCATTTAGATGTCACGACTGGTGGTGTCGGAAGTGATACGCGGACTATGCGTCCCGTACCGTGTCACAGTCATCCGCGACACGGATAGTTAGGGCTGGGTTAGGGTTCTTGTGTCTTGTTTTCAAGAACTTTTCTTATGTCATTTAGATGTCACGACTGGTGGTGTCGGAAGTGATACGCGGACTATGTGTCCCGTACCGTGTCACAGTCATCGAGAAGTGGAGGTTGTTGATAGATACTGTAGTTGGGAGTTGGGGCTGGGTTAGGGTTCTCGTGTCTTGTTTTCAATAACTACAAGTTACGCTCTTTTGTCATTTAGATGTCACGACTGGTAGTGTCGGAAGTGATACGCGGACTATGTATTCCGTACCGTGTCACAGTCATCCGCGACACGGATAGTTAGGGCTGGGTTAGGGTTCTTGTGTCTTGTTTTCAAGAACTAAAGTTAAGCTCTTATGTCATTTAGATGTCAAGACTGGTGGTGTCGGAAGTGATACGCGGACTATGCGTCCCATACCGTGTCACGGTCATCGAGAAGTGGGTGGCGGTGGCTGACATATGTCGGTGTCTGCACAACTTCAACGGCGTGCTGCAAGTCTGCGCAGCATTCCAAAACTCGTCCGTTTTCCGCTTGAAGAAAACCTGGGAAAAAGTTTCAAAGACGGTAAGTTGGTCGGCTTCACCAGAAGAATGTCTCACGAGAAGTTATTTTCCTTAGAGAAGTTTTGATTAATAACTATCGTCAGTTTGAAAAAATCCGGTCAAATGACACGATTTTAGATCTTCGGTGAACAAGTCACGAAAAGTTCAAGAATCGGCGACTGGCCACATCAGGCCCACTCTTTAGCGCCGACATCACTATGTTATGTTATGTTATGGCATAATTTCTGAATCAGCTTTATCCTCCAATCAGTTTATACTTTTGTTTCCATTCCTCACCTTTCGAAAAAATTAATTCACCCTCAGAGCGGGAATTTGTTCTGCGCCATGCGCCTGGAAAACGAGCACCGCAGACATAGTTCATGGAAACAGCAATTTGCATTTATATTGGCCTTGCTTTGAAAAATCCAAGGATATCAGTATACCAATTTCTACTCTTCGGAATATTAATAACTGAACGAGACAATCAAGCCAGTTGAAATTGGCGCTGACCTTTCCTACGGCAGCATACCAATCATCAGCCGCCTGGATGCTGCAGCAGTGCAGGATTGAGGCTAAAAGGACCATTTTAGCGCCGTTGTTTGGCCAAGAATTGGCCATGAATCGACGCCAAGCCTGGACCTGATATTACAGTTCCTGTTATGTATCTCGACTGCTGCAGCAGCTACTAAACAGCTCCTTGAGAAATAGCGAAGAATAAAAACCCTATTACATATAATGCAAAGTTGTAATGATGTATCTCGACTGCTGCAGCAGCTACTACCGGTAAACACCTCCTTGAGTAATAACGAAGAATTGAAACCCTTTGACAAATAATGCAACGTTGAAATGGCAACTTTGTTTTTTCTCTACCAGACGCGCCAAACTCTGGACAAGCTGCAGTCTCTGGTGAGCTCCGACGGCCGCTTTAGGAACCTGCGTGACGCTTTGCATCGGTGCGACCCTCCCTGTATCCCCTACCTGGGCATGTACCTTACCGACCTCAGCTTCATCGAGGAGGGTACCCCTAACTTCACAGATGATGGTCTCCTCAATTTCTCCAAGATGAGAATGGTGAGAATTGGCATTAACTTACGGGCAATGTGGTAATGATCTCTGGCAAAGTGGTAATGATCTCTGGCAATGTGGCAATGATCTCTGGCAATGTGACAATGGTCTCCCCTGAATGAGGAGTCCATGAGGTAGTACAACTTTACTGGCAATGTTGTCCTGAACTTCTTAAAAAGTGAGGATGATGAGAATTAGCCAAACTTTACTGGCAAATGTTTTTGACTTTCTTTATTGTTAGGCGAGTGTAAGTTAGCATAAATTACTGGCGATGGCTAAGGTTGTCTGACATGGTCTTATAACGATGAAGTGCGACATGATCTTATGTTGCACTTCCACTAGTTGGAAGTGGTAATTAAGGATCTGTCTGAATTTACCGGCTATGGTGTCCGGAATTTCTACAAAAATTTGTCTCCCCGGATTAGGAAAATTTTGTTTTGGTCGTTTGAATTCCTCTGACGCGCTGATGCTAAGGATTAGCCTAACTTACTAGCAATTAACTCCCGAACATCTTTAAGGGAAAGGTGATGAGGGTTAAACTTACTTTATTCGGAATTGTCTCTAGAACTTATTTATGTTTAGGATCGTGTTAGTTGGCTTCAGAAGCGGTTATCTTATACCTGTCACAGACTCAGACATCGATACATTAATGTTTCATGTTATTTTTTGGTTCACGTCACTAGACTGAATGAGTTGAAATTTTTATGTTGATATTAAAGTAGAAAACTAAAAATTTTGCACAAACTTTACAATCATTTTCGGTGATGTTAGACTTCTTAGCACGAATTTCGGCCTTAATTATATTATGCGTATGTTGTTGAAGAAGATAGCAATATTCTGTGGATCGGTTACAGCAGTTCATCTTAATGCCATAATTGAATAGGTTGACATCATCACGTTTTGCCATAATTAACGAGCGCACGATTTTAACCTTTTAATCCAAATTTGACTGCTTTGAATTCCAGATCGCTCACGTCATCAGGGAAATCAGACACTTCCAACAAACGCCGTACAAAATCGAGCACTCAGCTAAAGTAACGAGTTATCTTCTGGACCCTTCACGCCTCATGAGCGACGACGACCTCTACCGACAGTCCCTGGAACTAGAGCCTCGCAGGGCAACCCTCACTCCAGCGTCCGCCCCCTCACTTGCAATGCTCACGTCACTTCAGGGAGCGGCTGCCCATCTGCACCAACATAGGCTGGAAAATAAGCATGAACAGGACAAAGTTGAACAAGAGAAACTTTATCATAACAAGCCTGAAAGTGATAAATCTGAGCATGGTAAACATGAGCGTGATAAAGATAAAGATGATAAACTTGAAACTGAAAAGATCGAAGATGTAAAGAGTGACCTCGTTAAACTCGAATCTGATAAACTTGAGCGTGGGAGACTTGAACATGGCGGCACACTTGAACAAGAGAAATTAGAACATGAAAAACTTGAACAGAACACATTTCAATCACACAAACAAAATTACCCAACCAATACAACCACCAAATGTTTCAATGAACTAGATCAAGTAGCCCATCAAAACGAGCTTCTTTCTAAGAGTTCCCTGGAAGATAAGTCCGAATTATTTGATCTGAATGAATCTCAATCGGGCCAACACTATGGCATCTTGAAGGGCCGTGCCTCAAATGAGACCACTGTTCCTTCACCGTCTTCTGAATCTTCTTGACAACGCCAAGTCCAGATCACGGGACGCGAGAAATGGCGGCGTGAACGCGTTTGTATTCACCGCTGCAACGGCTGATGACTTGAAGGCATTCTTGTTCTCTGCAGCAACGGCTGTAGACCTGAAGGCATTCTTATTCTTTGCAGCAACGGCTGAAGACTTGAAGGCATTCTTGTTCTCAGCAGCAACGGCTGAAGACTTGAAGGCATTCTTGCTCTTTGAAGCAGCGGCTGAAGACTTGGTGGCATTCTTGCTCTCATTGGCTGAAGACTTGATGGCATTCTTGTTCTCTGCAGCAACGGCTGATGACTTGAAGGCATTCTTGCTCTCTGAAGCAGCGGCTGAAGACTTGGTGGCATTCTTGCTCTCAATGGCTGAAGACTTGATAAAATTCTTGTTCTCTGCAGCAACGGCTGATGACTTGAAGGCATGACCTGAAGGCAGTCTTGTTCTCTGCAGCAACATCTGAAGACTTGAAGGAATTCAAGCGGTTATATAAATAAACGCCCTCTGCAACAACGGCTGATGACTTGAAGGCATTCTTGCTCCCTGCAGCTACGGCTGCTGACTTGAAGGCATTTTTGTTTTGTTCTCTGCAGCAACGGCCGATGACTTGAAAGCATTCTTGTTCTCTGCATCAACGGCAGAAGACTTCAAGGCATTCTTGTTCTCTGCAGCAACGGCTGAAGACCTGAAGGCATTCCTTTTCTCTGCAGCAACGGCTGAAGACCTGAAGGCATTTTTTTTCTCTGCAGCAACGGCTGAAGACTTGAAGGCATTCTTGCTCTCAATGGCTGAAGACTTGATGGAATTATTGTTCTCTGCATCAACGGCTGAAGACCTGAATGCATTCCTTTTCTCTGCAGCAACGGCTGAAGACCTGAAGGCATTCCTTTTCTCTGCAGCAACGGCTGAAGACTTGAAGGCATTCTTGTTCTCTGCAGCAACGGCTGAAGACCTGAAGGCATTCCTTTTCTCTGCAGCAACGGCTGAAGACTTGATGGAATTCTTGTTCTCTGCAGCAACGGCTGAAGACCTGAAGGCATTCTTGTTCTTTCTTGTTCTACGCTGCGACGGCTGATGGCGTGAAGCCGTTCTTGTTCTACGCTGCGACGGCTGATGGCGTGAAGCCGTTCTTGTTCTACGCTGCGGCGGCCGATGGCATGAAGCCGTTCTTGTTCTAAGCTGCGGCGGTCGATGGCGTGAAGTCGTTTTTGTTCTCAGCTCCAGCGGCCAAAGCAATTTTTTTCTTCACTGCAACGGCTGCTGCTGTTTTTGCAATCCGTTGTTCCTAGCCGACATTATGCATTGTTGCCCGTATTTGAATAGTAGTGAACAGATCCTATTAAAATGGAAAATTTTTCTCACAAAAGTTTGTTGTCGATTGTTGAGTGTACGCCAGGACTTCTACATTATTTATATCTGAAAATGGACTTATGAGTACGAATTAAGCGGAAAGTGCTGATGCAACGCGATACCTTGTGACACGTGAAAGAACTCTTTTCAAGGTATCATCTATCTTATACAATAAGCTTACGTCTGAGGTCTTGGTTTTTGACAATCAATGTTAATTTGTGGTCTGTTTGTGACAATATGCGCGTTTTTTAAAGATAGCAAGGTTTGTTTTCTTTCAATGTGTGCTGAATGATATCTTACATGGACTGCTTTTTTTGGAGGATAGAAGATAGCGATCAGCCAAGTTGAAACCCAAGATGAGTAATGCAAAGGAAGATTCAGCGTAATAACGCATAACAAGAAGCCTAGCATGATAAAGAAATATAAAAACAATGTCGTACATTTTGTCAAGCTGAATGCACAAATAACTTGGACTTCTTCCTTGGTGAAGTTTTTCTGTGCGGTGGTAAGAAAACTTTTATGTTGGTGGAGTGCGTACGTTGGTTGTTGATGCAATAATATTAAAACTTTAGATGAAGTTATGTCCATGAAACTTTAACTGAAATTATGGAACTGAATGCTGAGCAATTTGTCACTGTTATCGTAATCTTAACGATGATCGTTATCTCAACGAGATTGTAGGCGAGGTATGTGGTAGGCAAGATTGGTGACGAGCGAGATTGCTGTCAGGCGAGATTGGTGGCAGGCGAGATTGGTGGCAGGCGATAATATTGTTAGGCGAAATTGGTAGCAGGCGAAATTGGAGGCAGACGAGATTAGAAGCAGGCGAGATTGGAAGCAGACGAGATTAGAAGCAGACTAGATTAGAAAAAGGCGAGATTGGAAGCAGGCGAGATTGGAAGCAGACGAGATTAGAAGCAGGCGAGATTGGAAGCAGGGGAGATTGGTGGAAGGCGAGATTGCCGGTAGGTGATATTGCCGCTAGGCTAGATTGGTGGATAGCGAGATTGCTGGCAAGCGAGATTGGTGGACAGCGAAATTGCTGATATTAAATATAGCTAGAACCAGAAATTCCTCATGAGCAAAATTATTACTGGAGAGATTTTAGGCAGGATATATTGTACGTAGAAGAGATCGCTCTTAGGAGATGTTGATGACAGAGATACCTGGGACTGCTGTGTCCCAAACAAATACTAAGGATACTAAGATATTGCTTGTGAGCATGAATGCTGAAAATGTTGCGTTTATCAAGATTTTTGCAAGCATTCCGGTTAGAGAGCGAGATGTTATGAATCAGTGTTTGAGTCCTTCTAGCTCATGGCGGAGCTCATTATCATTAAAATTATTTTATCGGTATTTACGATTCTAAAATATATGAATCGCTTATATGAATCTGTAGGAGTTTTGCATTTTAATAAACCATCTAATTAAAGCGGAAGAGGGTCGTTTAATACAACTTAATACACTTTTGGTATTGAGTGCGTAATAAATCATTGATTTTTTAGCATTTCAGTTACTATGATGGGGTTAGTGCTCATATAGTACCATGTTGGCTTCTTGTTTTAGTCTCAACCTCTCGGCCACATTGCCAATTTTGACCAGAATTTCCGTAATTTATTGTGGGTTCGAACATGCAACTCACTGTTCTAATTGTGGTGATCTAAACCAATCGGCCCCTTACTCAGAGCTCATATATTCAATTAAGCGACATGTTTTTTTTTCTACCTACAAACGCAAATAAAATGCCCAGAATCAAACATCGTGAATCCTATACTCGTTCCTGGGAAAAGTAAAGCCTGAGTGCTGAGGATTGAGGGGTGCTCGTTTCTTCTCTGCAGCGCCCGAAATTGAATCTCGAAGCCTGTGTTCGGCTCGATGGAATGGCTTTTCGTTCGACTGAGCGTCATTCTCAGAAGAAATGATGGTATTTGGAGTAAACAAAGTACGATCGTCGTTAAGATTATGATTACCTAATGCAGACGAGCATCAGTCCGTGAATTTGGCACGTAAATTCACGTGCATGACTATGCGTTTTAGTAGATACTTTATGACGTTTTTTGGGGAGAGGTGCACCAACAAACCGAGCCGAACTTAAGATCATCGTGAGTTTTCAAGGCTCCATGTCTTACGTACATTTTCGAATAAAATCTCCGAGTATAGCATTTCGTTATTAGTTCTAAGTAGAAGAACGTATTGAATGTCTTTCACTCTCTAATGAGCTAGATTTCTAGTAATTGATAGCCCATACTGTCACTCAACGCTCTACGTGTTACAATACCTGGTTGCAGGACAAACTGGCAGTCTGGGGCTTAAATTGATACATTTTATTAAATGGCAATCAAATTATTTAGTTCTCATGGTAAATTCTATGTAGTATCTACCTCGTATAAACTAATGTGTCATAAATGGAATCTTGTGTATAAACGCATGTGTACAATCCTTCTTATCTCATCTTATGTGTAGAATGTCTCTCTTAGGCGATTATATAGAATAATATTACAGTACCAAGATGGACGTTTGTGGAGAACAACGCTCTCACTTTGAATTCATCAATGAGTGAGCTTTTAATTCATCAATGATTGAGACTCAATTGTACTCTCTCCAAATTTAGAGTCGCGAATAAATTTGTTATTTACTGAAAAATTATGTTCATAATTGAAGTTTTATCGTTGTTAAACCATTTTTGAGCTTGCATATTTGTTTGGCAACAAGTTAGTCATACATTGTTATAAATTCGTTAATGATTGTCATTTTTAGGTGAGCCGGGTTCCCATAAATTCCAGGTTCGTATGAGTAGCCTTGTGTTACTTGGAGTTATTCAACGGGAACTTTGAATGGGACTCACTGTCCTATAGAGACGTGGGACTCACGGTCCTATAGAGACGTGGGACTCACGGTCCTATAGAGACGTGGGACTCACGGTCCTATAGATGTGGGACTCACGGTCCTATAAAGACGTGGGACTCACGGTCCTGTAGAGACGTGGGACTCACGGTCCTATAGAGACGTGGGACTCACGGTCCTATAGAGACGTGGGACTCACTGTCCTATAGAGACGTGGGACTCACGGTCCTTTAGAGACGTGGGACTCACTGTCCTATAGAGACGTGGGACTCACGGTCCTATAGAGACGTGGGACTCACGGTCTTATAGAGACTTGGGACTCACGGTCCTATACATGACGTCCTTTACTCAGGTCTAGATGAACAGCCTAGTCAGATGATGCTGTGTTTTCTGGGGCTTAACGCAACACAGGACAGGGCAGGGATAACAATTAACATTGTATCTATTGACGGCAACTCTCGTTACCAGGCTTATAGACATAAATAACATTTCAGATTATTAGAGTATTCGTAGACGAAATGTTAATTTTTTATCTATTGACGTTAACTCTCGTCATGACATTTTTATCTGCGACTTACAATGCGAACGGTTGATGTATGCGCAGAAGGAAAGTATCCGAAGTGCTTTGGAAGTTACTCATGCATGAGAAGTAATTATCAAGTCAAGAATTGTCACTGGCAATGAAACAGCGCCCACCCGCCCTTGGAAGACCACCCCATTCACCCTGGCTCGCCGCTCTTGGCAGGCCGCCCCATTCACCCTGGCTCGCCGCTCTTGGCAGGCCGCCCCAGTCGCTCCAGGCAAAGTTCCTGCAAAATGTTTTCACTAGAACTTGAAGCTCAAACATTACTCTACATTTAATTTCGACAATCATTTAGTGAAATGTATCGGTATTATATATAACATGAGATTATTTTTCTTTCCATTTGTTGTTAATAAGCATAAGATTCATTCATGACCACAATCCTGTGTAAAATTTAAATGAGTCATTGTTATGGAGAATTATAACTTCTTGTTTAGAAAAAAGGAATTTATTACCAAATGGCGTATGAATTTTTTGTTATTTCTATAATAAATAAACTAAACTGAAAACCCGTACCACTGTGTGTGGGAGGTAAGGCTGTGTGGTCAGCCACAAGTACAGTACAAGTATCTGTTAATTTATAAATCGATCAATGTTCAATTTAAACGTGATTTCGTGAAGAAATGGTGGATTTCTTCATTGTATTTGCTGCATCTGAGAGTTTATTGCCACCTAAGAAGGCTATTATTACTAAACTGAAAACAGAGCGACTGATGTAATTGTAGCTATGTGAACTTTATTCGTTATTCAAACTTGCCATTAGTATCTTGATTGTTAATAAATGTTGAATGAAAACTTGTTTGTTTTTACATGTGTCACAAAATTTATTTGTTAGACTTTACTAACAATGTGACTTGGTCGAAAAAAATTAATATGACGCTGATAGTTGCATCAACTTTGTTTATTTGCAGCGGTTCTCTGTACGAAACTTCTGAAATTTTATTGCCAGGACGGCCAATGCAGTAGCACACGATAACGCTCAGGCACTTCTGAGGAATCCATCGCGAGGGTTGCGATTTTGTTTGGAAATTGGTCGAGTGCTTAAGGGAAATCACTAACACATATTATGCAAAATAAGAAAAGAAAATGTGCTACTTTTTCAGTAGTTTCCTTTATTAATATATAACGAATAACTTACTACAGGGTGGACCAGTGCTTAAAGTTCAGAGTACCACGATTGGAGCAGAGAGATGCGGGTTCGATCCCACCTCTGTGCGCCAATTTCTGGTCAGAATCGGCAAGGAGGCCGGGCGGTTAAGCAAAAAAAATTGAAGCAGTGAGATGCGAGTTCAGGCCCGCAACAAGCTGTGAATGTTCTGCTATGTTAATAAAGTTCTACAGGCCTCCGGCCTAATAAAAACTGAAATTGCTTTGTATGTACATAATATAAAATTTTCAAAGTCATACAAATTTATTTTTTGACGATTAGGTATAAGGCAATCTATCTGAGTTGGATTGAATATACATTACGATTTACGATTGCTGGTAAAGGAGTCGGTTTCAAATATCACGCAAGTTTGTTCTGTACTTGCGGAAGAGGTGCCTTGAAGCAGAGATGCCGGTAAAAAGGTTAAAAACCGTTCCTCAATTTTGAGCCGTCGTGAGCGTCGTCCGTCGATAGATCGTCAATCACCATTTAATTATTTTGTGACTTTGAGCCCCGCATCAAGAATTACAGTAAGTTACTAAATATTTTTATTGATGGTACTGGTGGATTATGAGTGTAAATGAAACATTTTTATACATCGCGTGTCTGCCGTGTCAAAATACGGTGTCATCTTGTCATTCTTGTGCATGATGATAAATTGATAATGTTCATAATCATAGACTTCATAGTTCGTACATCAACTCCATCATGATTCGTGAAAATGGCGGCCCGCCGATGGCCTATGGCTATGGGTATTGGGTACAGCCGTCTACTGAGCCTTGCAGGGTTGCAGCTGCAGGATAGTGAATATTAATAATAATGGTGGATGCTATATGCAGTTACCAACCACTTACCAGTTAGTGGGTCAGTGGCTCAGTGCTCTGCCGAGCTTAGCATGTTAGCCCTATTTTCCCTGTGCTGCTGTGCTGTGCAGTGTGCACTGTCACTGTGCAGTATCAAATATCAACTAGGGGCCTAGTGAGTGACTGCCACACGCAGCCACAGTGCCACTATAATGAATGGATAGTATTGTCCAAATAGTAACACACTTTCTATTCCACGGTAGGAACAAAGTGCAAACGTTGACTATATTATTTACTATAATCAGGCAAACATAGATCTTTACCAATTCCAAGATCACAAATGTGAAAAGTATCCACTCTATAACTCCTATTAGTCAGGATTTAATTTTGCAAGTCATGATTTCATCACTGTAGCAGCTGTTATAAAATCTGATTTGTAAATTAATTTTTTGATCCAATCCAGATTCCAGAATATTAGGCACAGGCAAAATTAAGAAAAATGATAAGTAAAATTAGAAAACTTTAATTTATTATTTTATTGGCAGTTTTTGAAAACTGAGGGCTAAAAATATGCAGGTGAGCTGTTGCTCTTAGTTTTAATGAAATAGATTAGGCAAGGGTAATAAAAATTTATAAAATCAATTGCAAGGGCCAAACAATTAGAGTTTTTATCTTATTTATGATTGGCATGAGTCAAATTTTTAGGGTAATAAAAATTTATAAAATCAATTGCAAGGGCCAAACAATTAGAGTTTTTATCTTATTTATGATTGGCATGAGTCAAATTTTTAAGAATGGTTTTAAGTTATGAAACTTTTCCTCAGGTGGGAGTCCGGAGTGGGACTATGGAATAGTCCTATGGTACTTGGAATATTGGGTGCCAAAAATAGCAGACACAGACACACAGTGCTATAAATAGCAGACAAAAATTATTCATTCATGAGCAATTTTTGTGTGAAGTCCCTTTCCAATGGTACTTTTTCCTATTTTTAATAACAGTATTTGGTTAAAGTCCAGAGTGCAGAAAGTAAGTGAATATCTAAATTAAAGATCGTGTATTCTTATTCAAAGCTTCAGCAGCAAAATTGATATCTTCAGAAGAGTTTACTTNAATCAGCGAATACAAGTATACTTAAAGGATTCCTAATATATTCACAGACGTATTTAAAAGTCTCAAACCATAATATTCTTCCTATAAAAACAGTTATTCACTATTTGGTAGAGCCATGTCAAATTGTCAACTGTCAAATTTGACCCATTTTTCGATGGTCTCACCACGTGGCATGCATTGTCTCTCTTTGGATCTCAATATTTTCCCACTAGATGGCCAAGACCTAGTGTTTTTGCAGTATTTCGACACGCAAATGTATGACGTCACCATTTCAACCATCAATGAACGCATGGAACTAAAACAAAGCTTAATATAAAGGAAAAGCTGGAGAGGTGACGGAATTACCTACGATCTCGGAATATACCACGTTTACCCTAGTTTTAATGAAATAGATTTGGCAAGGGTAATAAAAATCTATAAAATCAATTGCAAATTGGGCCAAACAAATTATTTGTCTTATTTGTGATTGGCATGAGCCAAATTTTTTAGAATGGTTCAAAGTTATGAAACTTTTCCCCAGGTGGGACCATGGAATAGTCCTATCTGGAATATTGGGTGCCAAAAATAGCAGACACAGTGCCAAAAATAGCAGACAAAAATTATTCATCCATGAGCAATTTATGTGTGAAGTCCCTTTCCAATGGTACTTCTTCCTATTTTTAATGACAGTAATTGCTTAAAGTCCAGAGTGCAGAAAGTAAGTGAATATCTAAATTAAAGATCGTGTATTCTTATTCAAAGCTTCAGCAGCAAAATTGATATCTTCAGAAGAGTTTACTTGAGCCTTGCCAACACATTTACCTTGTAAATCTTGATAGTTCCCAATTTGCAATCAATGTAGCCAACCTGCCAATGTGCATTGATTGGCACTGCTGGCTACACATCTTAAATATTGCTAGCAATTTTACGTTTAAAAACCATATCTTGGCAATACATTTGACAAAATTTTCACTGTGAGTCTAGAGCTATGAAAATAGGTAAAATTGACTTTAGTTAAAGGTGTACCGGTATCTGTCTCGTTCATGGGTGACTTCTGCCCAATTATTCTGAATGAGGATTAGGTATGGTAAGTGCAAAAATAATATATTCACAAAAAATAACTAGTATACCTATACTAACTAGATGATACAAAATATATATTGATAAAGAAAATTATAGAAAAATATATAGAACTAATGGCAAATTTTTGCTTACAATTCATTTAAACCTGTGTAACAATTGTTATCACCTGAAATTTTTGGAAAACTCTTACAATATTCTAGATATATATATGCTCTCCAAGTTGTGAATAGAGCTTTCCTGATATCTTGGAGCCACAAGATTCCCACTCTTTGAATTATCTTCTATCTAATTTTTAAGAAATATTCAAGATTGAACCACAAAGTTTATTGATAATGTCACTGTGGGGCTGCAAAATTTCAGTAAAAAGTACAAATTTTTAAACTTGATTTGCTCATCCTCAGATTGTCATCATTTTTAAGGGTTGCGAATGAAACATTGACCCATTTTAATTGACAAGCAATAGTACAAAAAATATATAAATATATACATGTAACACTTGGAATCATTCATGTTGATGATGTATTCAGTAATTGCTTTTTTATCAAATCATGCATTTGCATTTAGTTGTGGGCAATAATTTTACAAATGAATATCTATTCGTTATGGAAAGATAGGAATCTATGTGCCATGGTACAAGAATAATTTTAAATGTTTGTGAGAGTATTCCTACTCTAATTTGGTGCATTACAACAATCTATTTTCCCAATTCTTTAAGGAAAGTTGACACATTTTTTCATCTATTCAGGAAAACTTTCAGCATTTTTGTTACTATTCATCTTTTAGTAACTACCTGCAAAACTCTTATGTAATTTTATGATGCAGATCCATAAAATTTGAGTTAATTTCCATTGTTTTCAGAATATCTGAGTCATTATGTTCCGGCTTGGCGGTATGAGGGACCCTGCTGAGGAGAAGAGACGAGCTCTGGAGGAAGAGCGTCTCTCAAGAATGGTCGTCTACACAAATTTTGGGACCTTTTTCTTTAGTATATTCATCATCAAAGCCAGTAAGTGTTGCTTTAATTTTGTTCTGTTGTTTTTTAATCATTCTTTGGTACCCAAAGATTCCTTGTATGGTTCCCAAGATAACAGTTCTGTTAATTATTTTCAGGATATATTTTAAAATATTTTTTCAAGCTTCCAAATGATCTTGGGCTGGTGAAAAATAACAAAAATCACTTCAATGTTAGCCAACAGTTCATTTAATGTGGCCTATGAAGCAAGAATTTTTTTACATCTAACATGGGAAAGATCTAAAGCAAAATTATTGCAAATAATATTTTATTGAAATATTGTGTCCAAAATTTACATGGCATTTATTTAGTTTCAGCAATCATAATGCAGTATTGAAATGTACCATTTTCACTTCTTTAAAAAATTGGTTCAACAAATTTAATTCAAGTTAGAGTCAAGAATTCATTATAGTATTATTGCTTGGAAATACTTCATGCCTTGCCTGAGAACTTCTAATAACTTTTAAGTTCTGTAAATTGCCAAGATTTTGGCTGAAGTGATCAGAAATGATGAGCTAGCAATGCAATGGATAAATTATTCATGTTCAATTGGTTGACGAATAATGTAGTCCAAATATTATTCTTAACTTGAGTTGTATAGGTATACATTTGTTTGACATGCTGAACAGAAAAACTTGAATAAAAACTTTTTAGTAAGTTATGAGAAAGCTTGAGTATTTTTCACATTTGGAATCTACGATCTCTCATGCTCTCAACTCCAGCCATTTCTTGCTCTAGCTGTGGTCATGTGAACAATCTCTTGAGCAATCTCTGCATAAGTCCTTTCATTATATCACTATATCACTGAACCGGCATTCTACTTACTTCAAGGATAGTTATAGACAGTATTGGAGGTTAAATAAATGGACACTTGTAATTAATTTATATATATATGGTAGTCTTAGCTCTGAGCTGCGAGCGTCCGCCCCAGACATCAGNGCTTTAATCATAAATCTGCCCGACACACGTTTTTTGGGGCGAGCCATAATTTATTTTCTACTTTTTAGTCCACAAGAAAAATGTGTTTTTTTTTAAAGTTTTTTTTAAGTATTTTATTTTACGCTCTGGCAGGTCATATCCTATGTGCTGTGTTTTTCTGTGTTTTTTTTTTCACGTTCTGGCAGGTCACATCCTATATACTGTGTATTTTATCTGTTTTTTATTAATTTGATGATGTTTATTTCAGCTCCACATGTTCTGAAGATGCTTCAGTAAAGACATAACTGCTGGTGCACTGCGTCACCAAGATGCATCTTAAGTCCTTAACTCTTATAATTCCTTATCTTCAACATAAACATTAGTCATCATTATCATTTGATAATGATCTTGTATCATCTTGCTAATATCAACCACATGCACAGTTCCACAGCTAGAACGAGTTTCCAAACACCTGATCCTTTGATAATTTTGATTATTGAAACAGACACTTACTTTATTCATCAAAGTGATTGATAATACGTACCTATTTCCGTATGAAGTTGTTACAAGCGGGTAACCATTATTATGAGTTATTATTTCTTCATTCACAATGACAAACTTCTAATCCTTTAATAATTTTGATTATTGAAATAGACATTTAATTTATTCATCAAAGTGATCGATGATACCTTTTTCCGTATGAAGTTGTTACAAGGTGGTAACCATTATTATGAGTTATGTACAATGATTACCTTTTACACAGCTGGTAACCTTCTACTAGTACATCATCATACCGTATCCAGCTATTCATCATGTTGAACTGAATTGTTCAATATGATTTGTAATTACAATTATTATCATTTATGTCAACAGTGATGCAAACAATAAATTCTACCAGTACAAAATGAAGGTTGTTTTGCATACCCTTTGTATTGTATTATTTATTTGTCTGAAATAGTCTTGTGTGTTTGTATATGTATAGTTTGTATGAGATAGTCTTGTGTGTTTGTATAGGTTGTATGAGATAGTCTTGTGTGTTTGTATAGGTTGTATGAGATAGTCTTGTGTGTTTGTATAGGTTGTATGAGATAGTCTTGTGTGTTTGTATAGGTTGTATGAGATAGTCTTGTGTGTTTGTATAGGTTGTATGAGATAGTCTTGTGTGTTTGTATAGGTTGTATGAGATAGTCTTGTGTGTTTGTATGGGTTGTATGAGATAGTCTTGTGTGTTTGTATGACTTGTATGAGATAGTCTTGTGTGTTTGTATGGGTTGTATGAGATAGTCTTGTGTGTTTGTATGACTTGTATGAGATAGTCTTGTGTGTTTGTATGGGTTGTATGAGATAGTCTTGTGTGTTTGTATGACTTGTATGAGATAGTCTTGTGTGTTTGTATGGGTTGTATGAGATAGTCTTGTGTGTTTGTATGACTTGTATGAGATAGTCTTGTGTGTTTGTATGGGTTGTATGAGATAGTCTTGTGTGTTTGTATGACTTGTATGAGATAGTCTTGTGTGTTTGTATGGGTTGTATGAGATAGTCTTGTGTGTTTGTATGACTTGTATGAGATAGTCTTGTGTGTTTGTATGGGTTGTATGAGATAGTCTTGTGTGTTTGTATGACTTGTATGAGATAGTCTTGTGTGTTTGTATGGGTTGTATGAGATAGTCTTGTGTGTTTGTATGACTTGTATGAGATAGTCTTGTGTGTTTGTATGGGTTGTATGAGATAGTCTTGTGTGTTTGTATGACTTGTATGAGATAGTCTTGTGTGTTTGTATGGGTTGTATGAGATAGTCTTGTGTGTTTGTATGACTTGTATGAGATAGTCTTGTGTGTTTGTATGGGTTGTATGAGATAGTCTTGTGTGTTTGTATGACTTGTATGAGATAGTCTTGTGTGTTTGTATGGGTTGTATGAGATAGTCTTGTGTGTTTGTATGACTTGTATGAGATAGTCTTGTGTGTTTGTATGGGTTGTATGAGATAGTCTTGTGTGTTTGTATGACTTGTATGAGATAGTCTTGTGTGTTTGTATGGGTTGTATGAGATAGTCTTGTGTGTTTGTATGACTTGTATGAGATAGTCTTGTGTGTTTGTATGGGTTGTATGAGATAGTCTCGTGTGTTTGTATGGGTTGTATGAGATAATCTTGTGTGTTAGTATGGTCTACTTGAAATAGTCTTGTGTCTTTGTATGGTTTGTGTGAGATAGTCTTGTGTGTTTGTATGGGTTGTATGAGATAGTCTTGTGTGTTTGTATGGTCTACTTGAAATAGTCTTGTGTCTTTGTATGGTTTGTCTGAGATAGTCTTGTGTGTTTGTATGTTTTGTATGAGATAGTCTTGTGTGTTTGTATGGTTTACTTGAAATAGTCTTGTGTATTTGTATGTTTACTTAAAATAGTCTTGTGTATTTGTATGGTTTACTTGAAATAGTCTTGTGTCTTTGTATGGTTTGTGTGAGATAAGTCTTCTGTGATTGTATGATTTGTATGAAATAGTCTTGTGTGTTTGTATAAATTGTTAATGTTATATCGTTTGTTACTGTAATGAATGAATGGATGCTCTTGCTTGTTGCTTAAATCTACTCATGGATGAATATTGTATGAATATGAATATTGAATGAATAATGGATGAATATTGTATGGATGCCCTGCAGTTTATTGATGAATCCGAATTCCATTTACTGGACATTTTTGTCTTTCGGTTTAGGTAAAAGTTATTGTTGTATGGAAAATAATTTAAATTTAAATATGTATATTTGTTTATACCCAGGGAGTTACGTGGGATGAGTTCATCCCCGTAATTTGGGGACCTAGCAACCCCCGGGGCTCACCCGAGCTACGTTCATTGAAATACAATTTTAATGATGAAGTAATGGAACAGTTAATTAATAGTAGTGGAACAGTTAATGAATTATATTAGAACAGTTAATAAATAGTGGAAACTTTGATATATGGCCGTAAAATAGTTGATATATAGTAATGGAACAGTTAATAAAAGGTAATGGAACAGTTACCTAACGTTTATAAACAGTCAATGAATGGCAATGGAACTGTTAATTAATGGTAATAGAACAGTTACTGAATGGCAATGGAACTGTTAATAATAATGGAACAGTTGATGAATGGCAATGGAACAGTTTATGAATGGTAATGGAACAGTTAATAAATAGTAATGGAACAGTTGATATATGGCAGTGGAACAGTTGATATATATAATAATGGAACAGTTGATAAATAGTAATGAAACGGTTAATAAATAGTATTTAAACGGTAGATATACAGTAAGAATGGTTAATATAGAGGTAATGAAACAGTTAATAAATAAGAAATTAACCAAAAATTTTAAAGCAACGAAATAAGCAAGCAAATTCATCTCAACTTCACTGAAACCTTTTCAATGAAGTTATGATGCATTTGTTTGCTGTATTCTTTGCTTTTAAATTCAAGCAAAGTAATCCTAAATTGCCATTTAAATATCTTAATAAATAAATATCTTAAATCATCTTAAGTAGACTAATATCAGTACAATTTAATAGTTCATAATGATCACTTGACAGCATTGAGAATAAAGTGTGATTATTGCACGAATAAATTGGGGGAAAAATTGGCGTGTTACACCCTCGCTCACCTCGATTAAATCGCATGTTTATTCGTTTTAGAGTTGAGTCCAATCAACAGTTATCATGCCAATCAACAGTTATCGTGCCAATCAGCAGTTATCGTGCCAATCAGCAGTTATGCAAACTAATTAGCAGTTATGTTGCCAATCAGCAGTTAACTTGCCAATTAATCAGCAGTTATCCTGCTAATCAGGAGTTGTTGTGCCAATTAATCAGCAGTTATCGTGCCAATTAATCAGCAGTTATCGTGCCAATTAATCAGCAGTTATCGTGCCAATTAATCAGCAGTTATCATGCCAATCAGCAGTTAACTTGCCAATCAGCAGTTATCATGCCAATCAGCAGTTATCATGCCAATCAGCAGTTAACTTGCCAATTGTCGATCCTATTTCTACCGCCGCGATCCTATTTCTACCGCTGCGATCCTATTTCCACCACCACGATCCTATTTCTACCGCCGCGATCCTATTTCTACCGCCGCGATCCTATTTCTACCGCCGCGATCCTATTTCTACAGCAGTTATCATGCCAATCAGCAGTTAACTTGCCAATCAGCAGTTATCATGCCAATCAGCAGTTATCATGCCAATCAGCAGTTAACTTGCCAATCAGCAGTTATCATGCCAATCAGCAGTTATCATGCCAATCAGCAGTTATCATGCCAATCAGCAGTTATCATGCCAATCAGCAGTTATCATGCCAATCAGCAGTTATCATGCCAATCAGCAGTTATCATGCC